GTAAGAGCCTAACGAGGACATGCATACCACACCTATACACTAGGATTCGAGCAAAATAAATATTACACATTACAACATACACGAAGAAAGAAAATATTTTATTATTGATAGTAATTTAAACCCATGAAGTTATTCAAGTTAATGATATGAGTTAGTATGACAACAATTTTTTTTTTTTGAAACTATATGACAATATATCCTCTATATATTAATTGAGGAGATACTAAGGTGAAAATCCTATGTGCCACTCAATAGAGGTTTCAAGGAACATGTCATCTAAATTAACCAATGAAAATATTTCAATTAATTCTAGATATTCTTATTAATTTTTAGCATAAACCCATTAATACATTATTTACAAATCTAAGTCCAACTAAATGTAATATTTAGACTTAACATATTATCTATTTTAAAAACTTTTTTTATATTGAGAAATTTTAAAAAATATTATTTATATTTTATAAATTTATTATTATATTTGTGACAATATTATTTATTGTTTATATATGTATTTAGATTAATATGATATATTAAATTTTAACACATTTCATTATGGAAAAATAAATATTGCTTTTCGTTTATTATGTCCGACGAATTCATATAAATATTGATTTATCGCATGTTCTATAATTTACACGAATATTAAAAATTAATTTTACACTTAAACTATTTTGAAATAAATAAAATTTTCATATGTTCTGATCAATTGCACATAAAAATATTAAAATTGATGGCATCAAAATATGCTTGATCAAAATTTAACTTGATTATATTTATGCACAATGCATATCATTTTGTAAGTTTATAAATATTAGAAATCATATAATTTGTAAGATATATTTACATATTATAATAGATTAAAAATATATTTAATTATTTAATCTTACGTTTGACGTGGGTCAAAATCTAGTTGATACCATAACAAAGAGTCAAAAACCATAAACATATAATATAACGTGCGTAGAAGCATTAGAAAATATCTTAAAATTAAGACCTAATGTGATAAATGACGAAATTCAAACGACATCAGATTCCTATTTTGACCAATTCTTGAAAAATTGAAATCATGCAGAGAGTGGCAAGAATCTGG